CACCTAATCTTAGTCTTGTTTTTAGATAGCATAAACACCCAGATTAACATTCTGGGAAAGGACTGGATTAATCAGAAACATTTCAAAATGCAAAATAAATAAATAAATAAATCAATCGTAAACTATCATTGAAGAAAATCAGAAGTATTAGAGTGATCAAAAATCAGTACTTTAAATAAATAGTAAATAAAAAATAGTGCCATTAAATATATAAAAACTGTGTACATAATAATCTTAGTAATATTATATGTGAATACATCAGGACTTCAAGAAAAGTTGATCTAAATTTATAGCAAAGCATCCTGTTAAGCCTTGTTAGGAAATGATCAGAAATGATCAGCATATCTGGCAGTATCTGACAGGTGATAAACAGCTATTAGATAAGAATAGCATGGACCTAGTAGTTAGAAATTAAATTTGATCTGGTAATTAGTCTAACACTGTAGATGTTTACAATATCATAGAATCATAGAATAGTTAGGGTTGGAAAGGACCTTAAGATCATCTAGTTCCAACCCCCCTCCTCTTTTCTTAAAGATATGCTTACCAACTAAACATGAAAAGTCTGAATTGATTACCATTGAAACAAAGACTTTATACATGACTTCAAATGATAGCTGCGTGTACTGTTTAGTCTTACCTAAAAGCAAAAACATCTCCACTTAATATAAAGACTTTAAAGCTCTCTTAGCTAAATTTGGTGCAACCTGAGCACAAATGCATAAACAGGAAACAAAATATTACATGCTTCAACATGTAGCAACATGATAAAAACATGATGGTGTCTGGAAAGCATTTGTTGTAAGAAGCCAATTTATTATTTATACAGGAAATAATTTGAAATAGGTGAACAGAAATAGTGACCTAGCAACCAATATTAAAAAGTACAGGAATATCTTGGAAAAAAGGAGAATAGTAGCCTGGCCAATGTTGCTAGGAAAATGAGATCTCTAAAATTCATGCAGATTTCCTTAATACTGAAAAATTCTAGCTGGAGTCCGTAATGCTTTAAAGCATTATTTTCTTCCATAGATATCTATGGATGCTTTCTTACAGTATAGTTTTTTCCCCCAGGCTTAAAGTTTTGGAAGAGTTAAAATACTTCAGTCTCAGCCCTTGAGGAAAGAGCTCTTTAGACCACACTTTCCTCAGTTCTCCTAAAATTGCAGAAAGAACTAGTCCTTTGTAATCTGCTTGCAAAGTGCTCAGCCCTTCAGTCTATGCTTATGGGAGGCATTCGGCACTACTTATGCTAAGTAATTTTTTTTTCCATTAATATTCTGCACTTATTCATGTTGTTAGAAATTTCTGGAAATTTTCTAATTCCTGTTAACTTCAGGACATACTTAGCACTTAGGGAATAACAACCCACACAGTCGTTTGTATATGTTATGCAGCTACAAGTTGCTACTGATACAACTACATCATGTAGTTCTTATTTGATGCTCTCATATTCATTTTGATATCATGACGCTTAAATCCATCAGCATTTTGTTGATAATCTGTTAAGGTCACAATTTTTACACTCAGTTTATGTTGTATTTTGTTCTTGGAAAATTCAAATTGTCTCAGAGAGCACTTGTTTGTTTTCTGTTGCTTTAGTGCAGTTTTTTATTCACCAGGGAGGTATGATGTTGCTATGTGTTTGCTGAGCAGACAGGTGTCTTTTTCAGTAAGGGTGGTGAAAATATTTAATGGAACATTACTTTAGACTGCATCTAAAAGCATAGCCTGCTAAAGCTGGTTACCAGTAGATTATCTTTCTTCCCAAATACTTTCACAGCACAGTATCTGCTTTAATTTATTCAAGTTTATTTGACTTATGTCAAAGTCAAGAAATTCAACCTCAATTCAGCCAGCTGGTGTTAATGCACAGTAATGCATTCTTTAGTTATATAAATTGTGGGTTTTTTTCACTCTCTAGAGATAATGAATACTTTTTATTCAAAGAAGAGTTATTAATTTTGGTTTTGTGGCTTTTTTTAGAGGGTTCAATATGGAGCTTTAGGCTTTGTTTATAAAATTCTGTTCACATCCAGACCTGAAGATAACAATTAGTTTTCTCCTATATCTTTTTTTTTTTATGGTACTCACCTCTACAATACCAAGTGTTCCACAAAGATAACAGTTTAATTTCACAATATGCCATCAAATACATGGGAATTTCATAAAATATCACTCTTTTCCAATAATGGTGGGTGCCTAAATCTAGGTTCATATTTTAAAATTGTGTATACTATATAACATATGAAAGCTCAACATAATTTCACATCTGACTCCAGAGTCTGAAACAATGAACCTCAAAACATACAACATACATATGAGTCCCGAATAAATTTTTATTTAAATTTTCTATTTTATCTTAATGACAAAGTTGTTGTGCTTACACAGAAAATGTATCTGAACTCGAGTTTGAAGATAACCCTTCCTGAAAGACAGGTTAAAAGTCCTCTCTGCAAGCAGGTATCTGGTTTCCAGGTATTTTCTAGCCCAATGCTTTGGTCATCCAGCTGACACACTAACCATGAGCTGGCTGCCTGGGACATTGTTTCCATTGTTTTCCACTTTTAAATAAGGCAGGCTACCAGGGTATACTGCTACCCTCCAATTTCTGTATGAAACAGCTTGTATTTCCGAGACTTTCAGTTTGTTGCTCTACAGCTGTCAACTGAGAAGATGAGACAACCATGGCACACCGGTTTATGAAAGCCTGAAATATGGCTGATTCAGAGAGAGTGCTTACTCCTCCTGTACTCTGTTGTTTACAAAGCATAGGGTTGCTAAAACTGAAGTATACCACCTGTCTTCTTTCAGCAATGGGAAAAAAAAAAACATTTAGCTTTGTGTTTATAGCTGAACCTTTTGGCTGAAGTGGGTAAATAATATTGGCAATATTAATGGAGAGCACCAGCAGATATTTCAGCGGATGGCAAAGAGAGAAGGTTGGGATGGGCAGTTTCCAGCTAAGCAGAAAATTCATTAGCAAATATAAATAGAATTTTTTCTATTAAATTTAAAGAAGTGTCCCGGTTTTGTGTCCCATCTGGAGACAGAAATATTTCATTAAACCTACAATATTCTGGACAGGGAAAAAACTTACCAACAGCAACATTTCATTCATTCTCCACTTCTTGATTCATAAGACAAAACACAGAGCTCCGAGTTTCATCTAGTCTCTTTATTCTTGTATCACTTGCCACTGTGTCAAGGTTAAATTCTGAAAGTGATTTTTTTTTCTTTGTTATCTTCTGCTTAAAAAACCTCTCCTGTTTGTGCTGAAATGATCTGAAATCTTCCAAATCCTTAAGGATAAGCATATTTCAGTTTGGCAGTGAATTCCCAAGCAAAAGAGGAAGCAACTGCAGACACTATGAAGAGAAAGTGGTTTATAAATACAAAATCCATGAAAAACAGTGTAGTAATCTTTTAACTGATGCTATTTTTCCCAGCTGCTATTAGTATAAATATCAAATGTGGTATTTTGTGCATGTATCAGAATTTAAACAAGAGAATATGCAGCATTCTGAGCCAGATTAATTTCTATGATTTTCTCTGTGTTTGCAGATTTAATATTTTTACCTGGCCATTTTATGTGTAAGATTAGTGAAAGGATATGTATTTTAAGATGTTTGTGATAATACATTGAAAAAGTAGTTTTGAGAATTATAGCATCTAAAATGCCCTATGGGTCCATAGATACTTTTACCTTTCCTTTTAACCTATTTTTATCTATTTGTATTTTGTCTGCTCAAAATAAATGAACAATATAGTTCACCAAGCCCACTTTGTACTAATAATGATATTCTATGAAATATGAAACTCGCAATATGTTTTCTTACAGTTTGCAATAGTAGTTCGTATTTCATCTTCAGTGAATAATGTCAGAATTCCAAAATATAATCTCAGACACACATTTATCCCCCTACATGCATACATATATATATATATATATATATATATATATATATACATTTATAGCTTTCTGTAGATATGGACATGAGTAACTAGACCAATACATGTAGCAGTTATTTTTAAGAAATGAACAAAAGCTATGTCAATGTACGCTGTGACCTTAGAAACTAGAATGGCTGGGAGGCATTCAGATGAATTACCATTTAAGCAACTAAAAAGAAGAACATATAATCTATGCTCAAAACTAAATTCAAAACATGTAGTTATGATGGATTCCACTGTTTTGAAGAACAGAGAGGGCTTCTATCAAGAACTAACACAGTCTAAAATGGTCTTCCTTTGTTTTAATTGAAGAGTGAACCAAGATAATGGATCATTGCTTTATTTCCCAGTTTGGAGGCAGAGAAGAGCATGGCATCAATATTGTCTGGGAATTGTCAAGGTCACTGCCCAGCACCACTTCTTTTACTGAAGAGTGTGTCTCTTAGGAAAAAGAGCTTAGTTTGTGTTCAGCTAGACTCTTAGAAGTTAAGTTTAATTGAGTGCTAGCCATAAGATTCAAAACCAGTCACTTTAAAAGTCACATTAAAGTAATGGGAACTTGAAATACAAATGGGAAAAATAATAATTTTCATTTCAGGACTGGAAAAGTTAAGGGATACTGTAAGGAAAGGGAATTAAATATAGAAGGTAAATGTGAGTAGCAATTTATTAGTAGTAATATTATTTCTGCTGATTTTTCAAAAGAGACCATTTGAAAGCAAAGCAAGATTTAAAGTTATGAATATTTTTATTTTATATGAATACTGAGTCTGTGTGGCTGGAAGAATCCAAATGAGACTATAAAAGTATTGGGTCATGGTAATTAAAGACAGTTTCTTTTAAAAGGTGCATCTTTAAGTTAAGCTACTTCCTTTTTAGATTAATAATGAGTGTCTTATTTCTGATATATGACAATGAATTTTAATCTAGAAAGTAGACAATAATTGCATTTAAAGAGTTCCACTAAGGCTGCTCATTAACATATTGAGAGCAGAAGTGACAAAAAAGAGCAGAAGAAAAACTAATTTTTGCCTCTTATTTTACAGGAAATGTGTTTGTTGTAAGCCTGGCAGTTGCAGACTTGGTTGTAGCAATCTACCCATATCCACTGGTGCTCACATCTGTATTTCACAATGGATGGAATCTGGGATACCTTCAGTGCCAGATTAGTGGCTTCTTGATGGGCCTAAGTGTCATTGGATCAATCTTCAATATTACAGGCATCGCTATCAATCGATACTGCTATATCTGCCACAGTCTCAAATATGACAAGCTGTACAGCAACAAGAATTCATTGTGCTACGTTGTTCTTATCTGGGTCCTAACATTTGTTGCTATCGTGCCCAACCTTTTTGTGGGATCACTGCAGTATGACCCCAGGATTTACTCATGTACATTTGCACAATCAGTGAGCTCAGCATATACAATAGCAGTTGTGTTTTTCCATTTCCTGCTCCCCATAGCCATTGTTACTTTCTGTTACTTGAGAATATGGATCCTTGTTATTCAGGTAAGGCGAAGGGTTAAACCGGATAACAACCCCAGGCTGAGACCACATGACTTTAGAAACTTTGTAACCATGTTTGTAGTATTTGTGCTGTTTGCAGTCTGCTGGGCTCCTTTGAACTTCATAGGCCTTGCTGTGGCTGTCAACCCAGCTGCTGTTATCCCTAGGATTCCAGAGTGGTTGTTTGTAACTAGTTATTACATGGCATATTTCAACAGCTGCCTTAATGCTATAATATATGGACTCCTGAACCAGAACTTCAGAAGAGAATACAAGAGAATTATTGTTACTTTTTGTACAGCAAAAAATTTTTTCCAGGATAGTTCTAATGATGTGGGAGACAGGATGAAAAGTAAACCTTCTCCATTAATTACAAACAACAATCAAGTGAAGGTGGACTCTGTGTAAAAATGGGAATCTTATTATTGTCACTCAACAACATTCAGATAAAGAACTGTTTTATTAGATCTACTGTTAAATATTATAGTGAAATATCTTCTACACTGAAAGCACTTTTATCAAATTTCTTGCATGGTATTTGGAAACTCAAGTTACAGAGACTTGACATGCAGATCCTATTATACAGTGGAACATCTCTTGTATAATAACACAATGATATCCTTGAGGGAATTACAAAGTTATGCATGGATACTTCCTTCCCCATCTCCTCCTCCTTAAATGGAAATAAACAACTAGAAATAGATTGAAACAGAAGTGTCCACATCACCTGGCTCAATAAAAGAAATTACAAAACTGTTCCTACCACTTTCAGCCACTTTCTGGCCAGGTTGTGGTCCTGATTCTAAAACCTCTGGGAACTTCTTTTAAAAAATGAAATCAGAAATATATTAGGAAATGTGAAATGAGAAATCAAGGTAATTGAAAATTCATTAGAATTTTTGACAAGGACCTCGATCTATATTGCTTTGTTCCTAACATGGACATGATTATTAATTTTTTTGGAAATTAAACCTCACCATCCCTCCTAGGAATGGTATTCTCAATTGACTTTTCAATTTTAAAATAGCTTTTGGGAGGAGAATTATACCTGACTGATTATCTTCAAAGTTACAAGGTCAGGAGGACAAACAGCAAGGAAAGAAAAAAGCCATGATTCATCAGCTCAGGCTGTTTGGGCATGTGTGGGAGGGTTGGGAAAAGAAATACAAACCACCATTCTTTCTGAAGAGACAGTAATTCATAAAATCAGAAACACCTGGGGAATCTGGGGAAACACCTCTTAGAAACATAAGCATAAACATAAACAAGGAAAAACTGTTATTTCTCACCTGTGTATGGTACAGAAGGTCTAAACCTCTGTAAGAAGAATAATGCATTTAAAACAAATGGTGCATCGAGGATGATAGCTTTGTCTGGTTGGTAGGATCTTAACCTCATGAAAACTTGGGAAATGAAAAATCTTTACAGAATGACAATTTAACATCTTTGTCACCTAAGAATAGCCTGAGACTATAGGTTATTTTGTAATCTGCCACAGATAAGCTTTTCAAAATAATAATCAGGGTTTTATCACAATGATGAACATAGTGTGATAACCTAGAACAATTAGACGCTTCTAAAGAGCAGAAAAGAGAAGATGCTACTTATTACGCTAGTACAAGGAGGAACACATGGCTCTTAGAACAGGATTTGCTAAGTGGACTTTCCACAGATAGCAGGCACCTCTCTCCATTGAGGGGAAGCGTATACTGTGACGTAGGGAAGAATAGCCCAACAAGCTGTCTGCTGCAACAATATATCCCTGTTTATAATGAAGTCCTCTGGTGGAGAAAAGTGATTCACAACAGAATTCACCTTCAAATTGACCTTAATTTGTTCTGTAAAGATGCTCCAACTGTCATACCTTTTAATGCTCAAGTGTTCATACTTTCACTGATAAAGTACACTTGAGCTTTCCAAGCCAATTTCAATCATTTCAACTGGACTAAGAGTTTCTGAATAGTCATCAGACTTCTGTTAATCTATATTAAAATGTGGTCTTTACCTAAAAAGTTTGTTTTAATTATTACCTGCTTTACCGGAGATGTTTCTGAGCCTATATATCATAGAAATCAACAGTCGCTCTATGTCATTTAATCCCTTAAACTGCATACAAATCTAACAGCATTTCATCTTTCTTGTATCATACCTTGACTTAATAATGAACTAAAAGGGAACAAATTCATATGTACTTGAAAACCGCATTGACACTTTGTCAACTGAGCAGTTTCTTACCTTACCTAAAAACAGGTGCCTCATGTCAAGTTGAGAATGGAACTAACGAACAACATTGTAAAACCCTGAAAAAGAATTAGAAAGTCAATGTATTGCTGAGGTGCTTGACTCATCTCTGTTTACATTTGCCACAGAACCACTGTGTAAATAACCAGCTCTCTTCTGTTGTGGTATCATCATATGATGTGATATGATACAATATGACTAACAGCATAAAGTATATCACAGCTTTCTTCACTGTGATTTCATCCTTGAAGGATGTTTAGCTCTGTAATTTTATTGCTTTGTGCGTAGTGATTTCATAGTAGCAAACTAGTTGTGACCACCTTTGTAAGAAAAGTTTCCATGTAACAAAAAACACTGTTTAAATTCTTACAAAACTTGCCTTATTTAAAGCATATTTTCAATGAAAATAATGTCTTATGATGCATCTAATAAAGTAGCATAAAGATAGCTTAAGTAGCTTAATTATTAGTAAATTTAGAATTTAGAATTCTTGAAGATCTTTCACTTGCCATTTCCAACAGAAAATGTACATTTGACATGTCTAAATATTTATGAGCCGGTTCAAGATACGGTATCCAATACTATTGGTTATCTGAGGAATCAAAGTCCCCTGTAATTCACAAGTGCTAAAATATATTTTTGATGATGGTAAAAATGGTTTGCTATATACAATAAAACATACTACACCAAAGGTATATATTTTATTGAATAGGCCTGTAATAAAAATGGAGAGCATTTTTCAGATCTGATATTTTGAAATATTTGTATTGAATCTAAATCACAGAAATGTACATGTTAGTGATGTTATGGGCTGCTAAATAAAGCAATAATTTTAAGAAATTATTGTCTTGTTTTTTTTTCTTTGGGGAGGGAAGATTGTTAGTCTTTAGAATTTAGTTTAAATGAATATGGGGAAAAAATTGGGTAGTACCTGCTGACCTCTTTAATTTTGCATTTACTGCCATTCTGAAGTATGTTTTAGGTAAGGTTTGCAAAATGACTCGTTGCATAAGAGTAATGATCTTTAACCCTGCAGTAATAATTTCTTTTAATCAGATTCTATTGCTTGAAAGGAGTCAAAGTGATTCATGTAGTACAATCAGCAGGCTTGTCAGCTGCTCATTGACAATGAGCATGACAGTGTAAGTAAGCACCTTACAAGATCAGACTCTTCATGGTCAGCATAGAAATGTCTGATGAAAACGATTGTGATTTCCAACCGTTTTAAGGAGACAAAGTTAGAAACTTACCCCAAATTAGTTGTTTCTTCGCAAGTGGATGAGCCATGACATGACATGACATTAAATTTTCCCTTGTGTGAAAGGCTACCATGGCACAAATGCTTTATTTAGAGTTCTATCTGGAAGTTTAAACAGTGCACTTGTACTATAGCAGTCATCAGTCCTGAATGGATTTAATTCTAAAACATGAGTCTTAGCAGTCTACCATACCTGCAGGAACCCATCCTTTTCCTACTTCCTATCCATTTCTGGATTGTCATTTTCCATGACAACTTCTAGAAGTAAATCTCCTTCCCAATTTTTCTTTTCCTGCTTTCCAACCCCAGATGATGCGCTTTTGTTCCTCAGTTGTGACCATGCTATCAGCTTGGCTGTCCCTATTCCACCCATCCAAACCAGTCAACACACGCTCTGATGTACTTGGCTTTGAAATGTCCCTGTTCTGTTGTGATCTGTTATGGCCACTTGTGTTTTTAGTAGTAGTTTGATACCAGTTAAAGTCTGTCTTACAGACAAATTAAGTACTAATTTCAGTACTACTCATCCTCAAGAATCTAAGATTTAATACAAGCATAGCAATTTATAACATGAATAAAACCCCATGGGACTCCATTCTTTAAGTATAATATTGCTATATAACCTTAAAAATAATTTCATTTCTTTTAAATGCTCATGAAACCCATTAATGCCCATCCTTTTCTCCACATGTCAAGAACCCAGGTTCTGTACTGAAGGAGGAATTAGTCACTAGAGGAAGAGTTGCACTTGAAATCTCCTATGAGCTGTGAGTGCCAGGAAGGGAAATCAGATTTGGAGTAGGTACCACTAAGTATTGAATCATTTGACAAAAAATGTCTGTTACCTAAGATTTTAAAGAAAGAAATTAGACCTTGTTTCAGGAAAAGGTCAGCAATTACAAATACTAAGGAATCATTCTGGATGTTACTATCAAGCAGCTGGTATGGAAAAAGGGAGCCTGTCTTATGTAAGAAACCAAGATTTTATTGCTAGACTAAATGCTTTAATGGTCTAATAAAAAATGCAAGTTATTCTTAGTCCAGTTAAAATCAAAATATCACTTCAAATCCAGACTACCCAATTATAGAAAGTTGTTACTAATGCAATGATTCAAGACATGTACAAATACACATTAAGTATAGCTTTATAAACAAAACATCATAGCATCTACTCCTTTTTCCTGGTTTTTCACTCACCCTTCCACGGTACCTTTGGGTCATCTTCATGCTCCCATCTGTTGAGATGAAGAAGAGGCTATAAAGTTTTCTGCAAGCCATTAAACCAGTGAAATCTCCAAGCCTGAAGGAAAGGACCAGCATGGGTGCAGTTTTTCTCTGTGTATATTTGTTTATAGTACTCTTGTTTTTATTAACAGCATGTCTGATAGGAGTAATGGAATAGTCACTCCCTCATCCTACAGGGGGCAGAATTTGAAACTCATAAATGACAGACCATGGTGAAAAGTTCTATGTTTATTGGGGTACTTTTCGTCATGGATGTCCAGGGAACATGAAGGCACATGGCAGGCATTTTCTTACCCCAAATAGACTTAAAGGTCTTTTACACATATGTCTGCAATTAGTTACGAATCTAAGGGCCAGTGAGTAAATCAGTCTGGTCCTGAATAGGACTCTCCCATCTCTTCTATTTTTTTCTGATTCAAGACAGATCTTGCTTTTGATTCTCATGTTGCTAGAAAACTGTTGTCTGGAAAAACAGTAATGAAAGGCAAAATCTATCTTATACAGTTACTTCACTGCTGTCAGAAATTGATTTCAGAGCAATTAGGACAGTATCCTGGAAGAATTAGCTAATCAATAAGTTTATTAATACAGAAAAGCAACAAATCTTCTCAGAATATTTCCTTAATGTCTGAGAAGTGTTTCCATAATACAGATAATGCTACCTAATTAATTATTTCTCAGAAGCAAAATTCAAAATAAAATAATCTGATTTGTTGTCAAAGAAGCAGTTGAGTAACATTCGTATTTAAACTTGAAATAAAGTGTGAACAAATCTCCAAAATTATTTTCAAATAATTAGAATAATTTTCCATACTCTTCTTATTTAGGACATTGCTTGCATATAAACAGTAATACACTGATCAGAAAAACAACTGTCACTGTTTTTCACAGATGAGATGTTCAGGAAGGCAGGTCAAGAGACTGTTGAACATTCTCCTAAATAACTCTGCAGAGTGTCATTTTGGGTTACGTTTAAGCCAAATACTAGCTATCACAGACTAATCATCTAATTATAGTTAAGGGCAGAATGATGTTAGTGTGGGGAGATGGAATGAAAAAGTTCCATTTATAGTAGAAATGTAGAAATAAGGAAACTCAGAGCAGTGTCTGTAGCCACATGAAATCATTCTTAAAGAGGAGTTCAGTTTCAGCCTCATCAGTTACATTATTTTTAGCTTTTTTCTTCAGAATCACAACTGGTCAGTGTTGCATGATACTGAAAACCGTCATTTAGCATCTGTCTGCGACATTTGTGGTTTCAGTTCTTCCTTCTATTTTGGAAGAAGAAAATGTTCAGGGAGAGCCCTAATAATGCATTCCAAGTATATCTGGATACAGCTGGGTATACATAATTGTAGGCAGCTATGAAAAGTAAATTTGCATTCAGTAAAGAATAA